TAGACTGGCAGAAAAGCTTGTTTCTCTCTGCCCACCTGAGGAATGACACCTAAATCTTTTCAACCTGAGGAGAAGAATGTGTCAGAGAGACATACACCATCCCAATCCGTGACCCAGCCCAGGCTCTGACAATCCCCCAAGTCTTTGTCAAATACTTATTATGTGCCAGGCACAGTGCTGGTCACTTTTATATCCATTTTTTGGTTTAACCCACAAAACGTTTTACACATACTAAAATCCCATTTTACACCTGAGAATACTGAGACTCACAATGATCAAGAATCTTTCCTTTGTCAGACAGTTCTACTCCCTATAATAATAATAACCAAAGCAGACAGGAAAGAGGGTTCAGAACACGGGGTAAATGTGGAAGACAAAATTGGTATCCATGAGATGAGCTAATGCAGTAACAAGTGTGTCTGAGACATAGTGCTAGGTATCTTTAGGTACCATCTTGAATCATCACATCAAGGCTAGGAAGTAGGTGGTAAAATGGGCTCTATTTTAGAGCTGGGAAAATGGAGTTCTGAGAGAGGTTAGGAAAATTGCCAGTAACTGAGCATTGCATGGTAACTCCTACAGACACGCTTGTACAATAAAACAGATATTGGTGCAAAGGACATTGAGATAAGTCAGGATAGCTTCAGGCTGCAAGTAATGACAATGAAGATTCCAAGTGGGAAGAAAGGCCTTCCACTTCAGCAAGTAAATAGGTTGTAACACACTCAGTCCAAGTATTTGATGGCATGGGCAGAAAGTTATATCCGAGTCACAGCTCAGTGGGAAGTCAAAAAGGAGAGGCTGACTGGTTGCCACGAGTCAGGGAGCTTCTCTAGGAGAAACGACATGCCACGTGCCCTGCGGCACAAGGGCACTGGGTTATGGCTTCTACTGCCAACCACACTGCAGTGTTTTCATGGGGAAGTCGGGAGGAGTGTTTGTGGATGAATAAGTCACCTTTATACCTGACCTTTTCTCCACCACTACCATCTAGCAAGCAAAGGGATTCCATTTTTAAGTCAAACTGTGCATTGGGTATCTCTGTGAAACACAAGCTGTGTTGAATTTTTAAAGGGATCAAAGCCTTACAATAAAGCAATGAACTTTAATGAGTCAGTTAGTAGAGTGGCAGGTATCAGAGAAAGGAACAGTGGGATTTAGATAACAATCTCTCCCCAAGGTGCTGGAAAATACTGAACAGAGAGATAAAATGACAAGATTCCCAGTATTTGCTTCAAAATATTGTTAGGGGTGGGGGAGGGTGATAAGAGTAGCTGGGAGTATAGATAAAATTAGGTAGGCCATAAGTCGATAATTGTTGGATCTCTGTGATTAGTATGTTGGAGTTCAGTATACTCTTCTAGTTTATGTATGTTTGAAATTTTCTATTATAACTTTTTTTAAAAAGAAAAGAGTATAGATATGATCTAGTATTCTATTCCATAGAAAAACTGCATCCCACTGGGAATATAAACGTGACCAGGGGGCTGGCCTGGATTTTCTGCACAAAGTTGTGGGTTCCACCTACATCCAAACAACCTCTAGGTCCTATACCTCCAACCTCCAAAATTTATCTCCAATCTGTCCACTTCTCTCCATCTCCACTGCCACTACCCTAGTCCTGACCACCACCAACAGTGCTTGTTTAGACAACTGCTGTGGCCTCCACATTTGCCTCCCTATTTCCAGTAGGATGTCCGTTTCCAATCTCTTCTGCCTACAGGAGATGGAGTGATCTTTTCAAAATGCTAATCTGATACTCTCATGAGAAACAAGCAAGATGCACAACAGTATAGATAACTTTGTATAAGAAAGGGGAAACCACATACATGCTTACACACACATATGTATATACTATTTGCTTATATCTGCAAAGGAAAATTCTGGAAGATAAACCAAAAACTTATCAAAATACAAGAGAAGGAAGTGCACAATTGAGGACATAGGTTGGCAGCAAAACTTGTCTGAATGTGTCCTCTTATAAATCTTGACTTTGGAATCACGTAAATGTTTACACATTCAAAAAATAACATTAAAGTAAAATAAGAGATTTCTAAAAATTAAAACCAAATTAAAATGAAAAAGATAAAAACGACTTTTTATTAACCACACGAAGAAAATAATTATTTCAAGTAACTTTCATAAAAGTATTTTGACTTTACATTCTTATGAAATATATTTTAAGAATCAAGAAAAGTTGCAAATAAATCTTAAACTTCACTCAGTAGTCTTATTGTTAGTATTAGGTTGAACCATATGAAATTGCCAATATTTTACCATTTTTGACTATAAAATGACAATTTCTTATATTGCAAGTATACTGATAGGTTATTATAAATATAGTAATATTATTTTACACTATAAATCTAACATATTTTACATGTAATGTAAGATAATTCATATAAATATATTCTAAATATAGTATAAATTATAGCAATATTGGTATTACTTTTAGAAATATTTTGTATATATCGTAGGATAAAACAAATTATTAATCATATTAATGTTGTTAGAACAAAGATTTTTAGCAAAATAAGACAACTATTATTTTAGAAGTTAATAAATACCTTAATTTTTAATTGAGATAAAATTGACATATAACATTATATAAGTTTGAGGGGTACAACGTGTTGGTTTGGTACATTTATATATTGCAATATGATTACTACAGTGACATAGTAATCATTATCTCCTTTGTGTTGAGAACAGTAAAAATCTAGTCTAATTAGCAACTTTGAAGTTTACGCTATAGCACTGTTGACTACAATCACTAAGCTGTGAATTAGATCTCCAGAACTTACTTGTCTAGTAGTTGCAAACTTGTACCCTTAAACGACATCTCCCAATTTCCACACCCCCCAACCCCTGGTAACCATCATTCTACTATGTTTTTACACATTCAACTTTTTTAGGTTGCACATGTAAGTGATAGCATACAGTACCTGTCTTTCTCTTTCTATCTCACTTAGCATAATGCTCTAAAAATAAATTGAAAATATCAGTGTGAACTCATGATTCTTTTTCAAAAATACTTATTCCTAATCGTCCACTAAAAAGGCCTAGAAGCAATGGTGACCCAGGAATAATGAGTAAGCCCAGGACCCAGATTGTGGGCTCTAAATACCTTCCTACTAAAAGGAAGCAGAAATGCATGTAGAAACGGCAGGAAATAGAATAACTGAGTTGGGGATACGTTATTGTATAAGGAAGCAAGGAAACTATTAAAGAGTAATGAGGTCCAGTTAAAAAAACAAAGATCTGACATGAGGGACTTCTCATTGGCTAAAACAAGACATTTTATGCCTCAAGAGAATTATGACTAAAATTGATTAAAACACATTGAATATATAAAAACCATACATTCAAAATGATACTCAAAAAAAGAGAAAGTAAAAAGAAAAGGAAGGGGAAAAAAAGGAAAGAAGGAGAAAAACACATCATTGGACACAATTAGCACTAACTAGGTCACCAACACCCTACTCTGCAAACTTGCAATTAAAGGAAAAGAAACAAATATATATCCTGCCTTTCCTGGAGGAAGTGTATTCCAGAGTAGCACAATAGTCCTAGTTGATGCGGGAAATTTTTTATCTTTTAGGGAGGGATTCTAACTAACAAATGTATTAGGAAGGATAGCATTAGAAATTCATCATTCTGCAATTCTTAATGAAATAATTGATTCAGACAGTGATCATCAGTGGACGAAATCATTGGATTAAAGATTGATGAGGAAATTTACAATGAAGGGAGGTAGGCTTTTACCCCCTTGAATGTTAAACCAATGTTGCTTTCCTAGGATAATTCTCACTTGATCAAAATCTCTAATTTTTTATGACACTGGATTTGGTTTGCTAATATTTTGAGGATTTTTATGTCTATATTGAGGACATTGACCTAAATTTTTTATTTGTGTTATGTCTTTGGCTTTGGTATCAGAGTAATACTGGTTTCATAAAGTGAGTTGGGAAGTGTTGCTTCCTCCAGTATGTTCTGGAAGAATTTGTGAAGGATTGCTATTATATCTTTAAATGTTTGACAGGATTCACCAATGAAGCCATCTAGGCTTAGGCTTTTTTTCCAGGAAGATTTTTAATTACTAATTCAATTTCTTTACTTGTTATGGGTCTATTCAGATTTTTTATTTCTTCTTGGGTCAGTTTTGATAATTTGTATCTTTCTAAGAATTTAAATATTTTTCATTTGGTCTATTTTTTGGTATAAAGCTATTCATGGTTTTCCCTTATCTTTTTAATTTCTGTAGAGTTAATGGTGATATCCTCTATTTCATTCCTGATTTGATGATATGTGTCTTTTCTTTTCCTTACTCTAGCTAAAGGTTTGGTCAATTTTGATGATCTTTTCAGACATTCAACTTATGATTTCATTGATTTCCTTAACTTTTTGTTGTGTATTTCATTGACTTGCCCGCTAATCTTTATTATTTACTTTCTTCTCCTTACTTTGTGCTTACTTTGCTCTTCACTTTCTAGATTCTTAAGGTGGAAGATCTGGTTACTGATTTGAGATTATTTTTGTTTAACATAGGTATTTAAAGCTATATATTTCCCTCTTAGCACTGCTTTAGTTGCATCCCATAAATTTTGATATATTTTGCTTTCATTGTAAATCAATTCAAATTTCCCTTGTAGTTTCTTCTTTGATCCATGAGTTATTTAGAAATGTGTTGTTTAATTTCCAAACATTCGTGGTTTCTCAAATTTCTTTCTGCTGTTGATTTCTAATTTAATTCTGTTGTGGTTGGAGAACATACTTCGTGTTATTTCAATTCTTTTAAATTTATTGAGACATTTTATGGCCTAGTATATGATCTATTCTGGAGAATGTTCCATGTATGCTTGAAAAGCATGAATATACCAACCAATTACTACAAGTGGGACAACTAGACATTATGCACCTTATGATCTGATGCAATATATTAGTCAAAATGGACAAGATTATGCTGCAATAACAAATATACCTAAATTTCAGTGATTACTTACCTAATCAGGGCCCAGGCTGATAGAAGGGCATCTCAACATGTCCTCCCATGACCACACTGGCAGAGGAAAAGGAAAAAGGCAAATCATATACTGGCTCTTAGAGCTCTTCCCAGGAACATATACGTTTTGCTTCCACTCATTTAATTAACCAAAACAAGTCACATGATCACAGTTAATTTTAATGAGGCAAGGAAGTGCTATTCTACCATACACTGGGAAGGAGACCTGAACATTTTTGGTGAAAAGTGCTTATAATTGGCACACTACTATGAAATACTCCTGCCAAAATCTGCTGAACCCAAATCTAATCAAAATTTTAGAGTTATCTTCCAATTTATAGGAAAACTGTGGTATAGAGGAACAAGTTAAATGACACCATAAATAAGCAAAAAGACAAATCTAATTCTTTTCAGAAAACCTGTGATATAAAAAAAAAAAAGGATTAAAAAGACCAAGAGGCTTAAAATTGAATGTAATACGTAGGCATTTTTTAGGTCCTGATTTCAACCAACTAAGAGGACATTTGAGACAACTATAGAAATCTGAATATGGAGTGAGTGTTAGATAACACCAAGGAATTAGTAATGTTAAGAATGATAATGCCATGGTAGTCTTGTTAAGAAAATATCCATATTTTTACAAGATGCATTCGTAGGCATGTAAAGATTCAGTTATGTCTGTGATTGTTTTATAATACTTTAAAATTCTTAAGCAGAGAAAAAATTGATAGATGAGGCAAATGTGGCAAAATCTAGATATTTATGGAATCTAAGTCGTAGGTATATGCAAGTATATTAAAGTATGCTCTCTGCTTCTGTGTATATTTTAAATTTATTTAATAAAAATATTTTAAAAATTTAATCTGATCATGTCACTTCTTTGATTAAAACCTTTTATTGGCTTTGGTGGTTGAAGAGAAAGTCCAAATTCATCACAACGCTCTTCATATTCAGCATCTGTTTATCCTCCTCCTCATCATCATCTTCTTCGTGGTGACACTTTTATTGAACACTTACCACGTGTCCAGCACTAAGTTGAGCCCTTTGCCTGCTTTACTGTTTTTTGTTTTTGTGTTTTGTGGTACGCGGGCCTCTCACTGTTGTGGCCTCTCCCATTGTGGAGCACAGGCTCCGGACACGCAGGTTCAGCGGCCATGGCTCACGGGCCCAGCTGCTCCACGGCATGTGGGATCTTCCCGGACCGGGGCATGAACCCGTGTCCCCTGCATCGGCAGGCAGACTCTCAACCACTGTGCCACCAGGGAAGCCCTGCTTTACTGTTTTTAATAACACAAAAACCAGAGTTATTTTGTCATCCACTTTTTGCAGATGAGGAAACTAAAGTACGGAGAGGTTCAACAACTAGTCCAAAATCTCATAGCTAACAGGTTGGGAAACTGGGATTTGAACCCAGGCAGGCTGACTCCATCACCCATGCCATTAACCCCTTGATTTTATGCCCACCTGGTATTTCTCTCTCTTGTATGCCCACAAATTAGTATGGTGCTTAGCACATGGTAGAGGCTTAAAATTTTTTTGTTAAATGGGTGTTGTTAGCTAGGTTTCTGTCACTTTTTCAGTTTCCTTATCTTCTCATTAATTATCTTGTAAATAGTTATTTTCCTGTGGATATTGCATTGCTGTCAGATGACCCATAAGTACTTGCTGAAAAGGAGCATTACAAACATAGAGAGAAAATACCCCCCAAGTCCTTTCCTCAACATGGCCTTTCCTTATGACCCTCTTGGGTTCTCTCAATGACTTTTGCTCTCAACATATTGCAATGTAATTCTTTGTTTATATATTTACCTCTTGTCTAGTCTATGAGTTCTGAGAGGCCAGGGACTCTATCTTACGTATCTCACCCTCCAGTGCCGAACACAGTAATTGGCATGCCCTGAGCTGTTAAGTTTATTGAGTGGATCAGTGCACAAGAGCTACTAAAGAACTCCTGTATATCCTTCAAAGCCTAGCTCAGATGTTGTTTCTGTAAAAACTTCCTGCTGCCTCCCAAAGTTAATCTGTCCCTCCTCTGTGCCATTATTTTACCCTCTGAACACATTTATAATTTCCTTCATATTGCGCTGTACTTTTTTTTTTTTTGGTCCACTTGTCTTCCCAACCAGACCATGAGCTTTGCAAATCTGGGACTGTGCTTTATTCATCTCTGTCTTACTAACACCCAGCAACATTCTTTGGCACAGAGCAGGGGCTCATTTTTTGTTCAAATGCAAAACTATCAAAACTTTCAAAATTACCAAAATGTACAATTATTAATATAGTCATATATTGTCTTTAGCATATATTACAAATAAAGGAATGTTTTACATTCTGTCTTAGAAAAAATCTCTGATGTGACTTAGGAAATGGGACACGCTCCTTAGTAGAATAATACTATGGACACACTCCTTAGTAGAATAATACTATCACCACCATTTCAAGTCTTCTGTCACTTTCTGCTACTTGCCTTTGAAATATAAGCTAGTCATGGTCACTTTGTATTTATGTTGCTTCTTCTCTGCTAAAGTTGCAATATGTCACATGCCATTAATTTATTTGTTATTTTTCAAAAGATTCCCATGTGGGAAATTTGATGACCATAACTGGGGAGATAAGGTTGGAGAAAGAATAAAGCAAATGAATACGGCACTGTGGAAAGACTGGCAGCCTGCTTTTCCCTCTGTAACTTTGGACAAGCCATTTCCCTCCTTTGGGCCTCAGGTTCCTCATCTGTAAAATCTGATTTCACCAGATGATCCCAGAGCCTCTCCTATGTTCTAGAATCTATGACATCTTTACCTCAAAGAAGTCAAAGAAAAGGCAACAACAGACTTCTGCAGCAGTCTGGTCTCGTGCACTGGAGAGATATCTGTTTGACCAGGTGATCACCCCACTGGAAGAGGAAAAACAAACACAAAGCTGTTATCTGGCTAGCACAGGACCTGACTTTGCAGCTTATCTTCTTATCACAGGTAGGATGGGGAGTAACCTGGAGTGATGATTCACAGTCGTTCTGACCATGGGCAAAATCAAATACACCATGGAATAAACAGAAATACAGGGCCTGTCTAGGAAGAAGGAGAGAAAGTACAATAGGTCCAACTTAACACTGGACCTTCCCACCCCTACCCCTGCTGCAACCACATGTTGGCCCAGTCTTCAAGGTCAGCAAACTTCTTCTGCCTGTTGTCCGTGGCAGACACTGCTAATTGATTACAGTACTATTTTCTTCTAAAGCCAGACTGGGAATCTTTCACAACACAGTGCTGCTCCAAACGCCAACAACTGTTTGGAGTTGGAATGTCAGCTGAGATCTATTTGCCATCCTGGGCTCAAATTTCCTCCTTATTCCTGCAAAGAAAAGTACTACAAGGAGGGTTGTAATTTTAACTAAATAAGGGACCTTGGGCAAGTTCTTTACTTTGCCTCTGATTTGTAAATGGAGAATTCCCTAGTCCCCTCCATTCAAGCATTCTGTGTTTCGGGGATTCTAGAAGTTCTCATCTCTTTTGGAAAATAGGAGCATTTATATGACACTGCTATGCCAAAGCTCAGCTTCTCCATGACATGGTAGCATTTAGGCAACCTGGACTGTATCTGGACACCTCCAACATGACAAGTGTTAGGTGTCCACACAACTGCAGGGGCCATGACGTATCGTTTATTAACCCTCCCCGACTCCTAGACAAGTTCTCTGGAGTCGTAACAACCAGATTAAACTCAAGCGAAGCTTGACTGACAGAGTCAAAGAAAACCCACAGGGCTGTCACCTGTTAAGCAGTCAATGCTAGCATCTTCCTTGGCAAGAAAGTACATTTTCTTGTCTGGCTTCAGCCTTAAATTGCTTGTATTTGTCCTGGAGACTAGATCAATAATCTCAATCTCTCTCTCTCTCTCCCTGCTTGTAGATCTGAAATAATTTTATATGAAGAAAAGTAAGGCAAATGGCAGAGCAGCAGAGGGTAGAAAAGTCAGTATGTAAGAATGCTAATAGGAAGAATAATACATAATATTTATTGTGTGCTTTTTGTGTGTCAAGCACTGCATTATCACATTTAATCTTGACAACCTAAGAGATATGTACCATCATGTATCTCCATTTTACAGAGGAGGAAATTTAGGCACAGGGTGTTAATGAATTTTTCTAGGGTGCTATAGTGTTTTTGTTACAGAGGGAAATGTGAGTCAGGTCTCTCTGACTTCTTCCATCACACCACACTGACTCTCCCAATTCAACACTGAAGAACTTTCTCAAACCACCTCAGGTGCATTAGTCAAGTCTCGTTCAGTGTAAATACCAGAATACTCAGTATCAGGAAACTGTTCTTCTTCATCTGTTGGCTCTGTTTTCACTCTATTCTTAGGCAATCTGTCCCTTCAAGGTGGCAAGATGGCTACCATCAGCACCAGACCTTCAGCAACCCCAAGAGGAGAAATGATTCTCTCTCTCCTTGGTCCTAGTAAAAACCAAGGATTGTGTCTTTTTGGCCTGGCTTCCAGAGTCCCTACCTCTGAAGCATCACTACGGCCAACTGAAAAGAAATGACTTGATTGTCCAGACGTGCGTCAACTGCGCATCCCTGGAGGTAATGGGAGAAACACGCCTCCAAGTTGCAGGGGCTAAAAATTCGGAGGGGATATTCTCCTGAGCAAACTTCAGGTATGGTGTCTTGAAGAAAAGTGGATGGGTATCACCAAGCAGGCAAAAACATTAGATGTCCACTCACTAAACTTGTATCTATGCAACACCACAATATTCCCAAAGAATTGGCCTTGTGGTCATGCTGTATATAGCAGTTAGAAGCTTTGTTCTGGTCACATTCTAGAAGTTTAGAATTTCTCCTGGTACCGGAACTTGGGCCCAGGTGTAGTGTATTAATACTGTCATCCTAGGCAGCCTCTCCATTGTTCCTCCTTTTGCACCTCCAGCCAACGCTTCATAAACCCCCACAGGCAGAAACAAGGGCAACTTTCTCTCCTCATTCTGGAAGAGGTTGCACTTTTGCCCTAAGAAAGTTTTAAGTACTGCCTTGTCACTACACTGGGTGGTAGGAGGGACTCTACCTCCCCTTCAGTGACTTGCTACTCAGATTAGTTTCATTGTTCTTCAAATCCTATTTGTAATTCAAGGCCAGGTTCTCATCCACCTTCTCCATGAAGCTCTTTCCAGTCTTTCCACTGTAGCACTTATCCAGTTCTCTCTCATGATGCAGGATTTTCTTTCTTTAAAAAGATTTTTTAAATTTCAAAATGTTTGATGCATACAAAAGAGTACTTGTAATATATGTGCAACTTGTAAAGCATAATTATAAAAAAAAAGTCCATGAACCTACCACCTGATGTAAGAATTCTCTGTTTTGGCTGGTGTTTAGGAATGCAATTGATTTTTACATTTTAATCTCACGTCCGGCCACTTTCTTATTCACTTGTTATTATCTTCCTATAACTGTTTTCTTCATGTCTTACGGCTTTGCTTAGATATATAGAATATATAAGTTTCATGTGTAAAACATTATATTTCAGCTTCTGTATACACTACAGCGTGTGCACCACCAAAAATTTAGTTTTCACCCATCAGCATGCCGTTGACCCCTTTTACCCATTTTGCCCTCCGCCGCCCTTCCCCACTGGTAAGAACTACTCTGTTCTCTGTATCTATGTGCTTGTTTCTGTTTGGTTTGGTTTGTTTATTTATTTATTTTTGGTTGGTTTATTTTTTATAATTTACATATAAATGAAATCATATGGTATTTGTCCTTCTCCATCTGACTTATTTCACTTAGCATAATACCCTCTGGGTCCAACCATGTTGTTGCAAACGGCAAGATTTTATTCTTATTTATGGCTGAGGAATATTATATTATATATGTATATACCACATCTTCTTTATCCATTCATCTACTGATGGGCATTTATATTGTTTTCATATCTTGGCTATTGTAAGTAATGCTGTGATGAACATAAGGGTGCATATATCTTTTCGAATTAGTGTTTCGTATTCTCCAGGGAAATACCCAGATGTGGAATACCTGAATCATATGGTAGTTCTATTCTAAATTTTTTGAGGAATTTTAATACTGTTTTCCATAGTGGCTGCTCTAATGTACATTCCCACCAACAGTGTATGAGGGTTCCTTTTTCTCCACATCCTCACCAACACTTCCTATTTCTTGTCTTTTGGATAATAGCCATTCTCATGGGCGTAAGGTAATGATATCTCGTTTTGTTTTTCACTAATAATTAGAGATGTTGAACACTTTTTCATATGCCTATTGGCCATCTGTATGTCTTCTTTGGAACAATTCCAGACAATATTGAATAGAAACTGTGTTAATAGGTAGACTGTGGTGGATGATGTAATGTACTAGCCGGACAACCCTTTGAGAATCAAAGATTCATTTTCACAGCTGCTGGGAGTGCTGCTGGAAAATGTCCCTCAGTTGTGAGTCCTTTCTGGGGATCGCCTTGGTTGAAGAAACCTGTCACACTCAAGGTATGGTTCCTCCTAGGACCAACCCTCATCCAATGACTGACTGACAAGATGGTATAAAAGCCTAGCCTCTTTGTCCCAATTGGGTACACTTCTAAAGGGCCATCCTGGCTCTAGAACTCTGTGAGTTTGGTTGAGGTCTTCATTAGAAATGTTTCCTAGCTCAATTTCTCCCTCTGCCTAAGCCAGCTTTCTTCCTCTCCCTTCCACATATATCGATCTCATGAGAACTCTTCAACAAGCATTTTGTAGGCTGACCTCTCTCAGGTTCTGCTTCCTGTGGAACACAGCCTGTGACAGCTTCCTTACCTGGGTCCTCAGTTGCAAGAGAATGTTAGTATATCACCACGAAGAATAAGATTGCAGTAGGGGTTTTGAGAGGTATCCTTTATTTGCTTAAGGGAATTCCCTTCTCTCTCTCATATGCTGAAAGTTTTTATTATAAAGGGGGTCATTTTTCTTCCCCCCTGAAACACAACAGTGGTTCTGTGATGAGGATGTGCTGGAGGTAAATTTCCCCAGTTTATCTGAAAATATTTTTTGTTTATCCCTCATTCTTGAAAGATAGTTTTTAACTAGCACAAAATTTTAATCTGACAGTATTTACTCTCAGCACTTTGAAAATTGTTTTCCTCTGGGATTTGATACCCACTGTTACTACTGAGAATCAACATCAGTCTTTATAGGGGGGTACATATTTTCTCTCTCTGGCCATTTTTAAGATTTTTTTCTTTGTCTTTGATTTTTCTTCAGCTTCACTATAGTGCATGTAGATATGAGTTTCTTTTTATTTATCCTACTTATTATACACTGTGCTTCCTGCATCTGTAGACTCAGGTTGGTTATCAATTCTGGGAAATTCTCAGCCATTATCTCTATGAATAATCCCCTCCTCTATTCTCTTGTCCTGGGTCTCTGTTAGACAATGCAAGCAACGATACTTCCTCTTTCTATTTTCCGTTTCTTTCAATCACTTATATTTCCCATCTCCTTGTCTCATTTTATTTATATTTTTATTTTATTTTTGGCTACGTCAGGTCTTAGTTGTGGCTCACGGGATCTTCGTTGCGGCACGCAAGCTCTTCGTTACAGTGTGTAGGCTTCTCTCTAGTTGTGGCGTGCGGGTTTTCTCTCTCTAGTGGTGCACAGGCTCCAGGGCTCGTGGGCTCCGTAGTTGTGGCACACAGGTTCCAGAGCACGTGGTCTCTGTAGTTTGTAGCACATGGGCTCTCTTGTTGAGGCTTGCGGGCTCAGTAGTTGTGGCACGCGGGTTTAGTTGCACTGCGGCACGTGGGATCTTAGTTCCCCGACCAGGGATCGAACCTGCGTGCCCAGCATTGGAAAGCAGATTCTTTACCACTGGACCACCAGGGAAGTCCCTCCTTGTCTCTTTATGGTGTATT